CTTGTCCTAAAAAAAACCTTATAAGTACAAAAGAAAAACAACAACGCACAAGTATTCAATTTGGGCTAGAGACTATTAGTTCGATCAAGGTTGCGTCGATAGGTACTAACTATTGAACTAAGGATATCGTAGTGACACTTTCTATGGGTCGCAGTCATAAGTTTCTTTCCTATACAAACCAATCTGCATCATGTTATTATACCTAAGCCTAAATCACTCATTCCTCTTTTATCCTTTTTTGTTTAGGCGCAATCACATTAAGCTTGTTATCCTGTACTCGTATGATGAACAAACCCGTTGGTGATCCTAATCCAATATTGTGTCAAATTCAATTATTTTTTTCTTTAACACAAACACATAAGCATTTTTTTGAAGCTTCTCTACCGTTGGGCTAAGTAACCGGGTGAGGGTTACCCAACTTAAAGGGTGGATCCTTTTTCCAACATGCATTTTTTGTATTTTTTTCTTTCTCTTACTAGATCATTCACATATTTGCATCGGTTCACCCACTTAGTGGTATCTAAGATGGTGCTGACTGCTAAAATAAACTACTTAAGGATTAGTTCAAGGGTGAGGTTTTAAGGCCACAACATAATAAGTATCCAAATCAATTTCTATAGTTAAGAAACTTATGGTGTCAAGACGATATCGATTTTTCAAAAGTTTTCCCAAGTCTCCAGAAATTATCCTAAACTTGTCTAACAACCCAAATTTTCAAAATAAAAGTTATTTTGTTATTCAAAAAGTTGGGTATGGCTCAAGAAATGGATAAAAACATACAACCTACACATATGACTCGTCAAGCACATGTAATTATTGAAAACAAACTAAAAACAAGCTAAAAACATAGAACTAAACTAGAAAGAAATGAAATGAAAAACATAAAGGGAAATAAAAAAACAGTAAATATCTCCCCCACACTTAAATCGAACATTGTCCCCAATGTTTCAATAAAAGGTGAAGAAGAGATAGGTGGAACCTGGATATGACTACTGCTGACCACTGGTACCCTCTCCTCCCTGCTCTGAATGTCAAGAACGACGACTTCTACTGTGGTGTCGTGTACTCTATGAAAGCTCGAGCTGCTAAATCCTCACTACTAGTGCTTCATTAGTCTATCGAAGCTCACAAAGGTTTCCTAGTATGGAACCTTGAGTGGCTTCTACCATCCTATAATGGTTGTTGAAACTAGCTTGTTGGTGTTGCTGTAGAGAGGTGGCGACGAGCTGAGACTACATCATAGTACGCATAGATCTCTTAGTTTACCGTTGTGACTCACACATGAAGTTCATCGTGTCCTGTTGCTGCTCATACATGGCATATAATAGGTCATCACGTTCTTCTTCGCGAGCTTGCTGCTGCCTCCACATCTCCTCTGTAATATAGAATCCAGAAGGTGCGCCTGCAGAAAGGATAATAAATGGTGAAGTGTGTGAAGGCGATGCCTGAGGGAAAGGAATATCATGAACGGGGGATTGATTCATCCACTCATATTCGTTGTTGGTCTCGTTACCTTCGTCCTCTGGGATGTTTGGTGGTAATGGATCGAGGATAGGATCAGCTTGTAAATCATAAATCCAATTCCTTTGGTGTCGCACATCGGTATCACGGGAACAAGGTAAAGCTACACTCGGTATAGCTACATTTCAAACCATGAGGGTGTATCCTCCCTCCTTCCCCACCCTGCATAATCACATATCTCTCAAAAAATTTAAGTTTATGGTGCGAGGTGGGAGTGGTTCTAAAGTGGCTATCTCGGCGTCAAGTTGGAGGGCACGTGCAATAGAGGTAATCAATCCCCCAAATGACATAGTTCCTCTCTTTTTCACAACAGCACACGTATGTGCCAACATAAAAGGCATGGGGTTCAATCTCCTGCGATAGAGGGAAACCTGTAGAAAAATGAATTCTTTGGAATTTAATTTGTTAGAGTTTTCTCTGGCAAATATGGTATCAGCCAGCAAATGAAGGAAAACACGTATGGTCGGGTTATGTATGTCAGAGGCCAAGTTTCCCTCGAAGAAACTAATGGCATGACCAGTTAGGTCTCTCCACAGTTGGAAAGCTTTAATTTTCCATTCAGTGTCTAAAGGTGCCTCACAAATGGCACCCTCCCCAAATGGGAATCCTAATAGACCTTCCAGCGCATAAGTGGTGAATTGACATTGCATATTGAGCATTCTAAATTTCACCGTACCGACAGTGCTGACATTGTTAGCTCTAATAGTGCAACTCATTGAACTTAAAAATTCTCGAGTCAGCTTCTCATAGGTTGGTTCTCTACGAATAAAAATTTCATGCAAGTGTAAATTATCTAATAGATAAACTACGCTAAAATGGATGCCTAGACTGTACAGATAGTTTTCATCAATGTACCTCATCGCGAAAATTTCGCGTGTCTGTAAAGTCTTCAAACTTCTGCCTTTGCCTATCCCCATCTCTTCCTTCGCGAAAAACTATTTTTCCTTGCTCCACTGCCGCCATTGTTTGTGGTTGTTTTGAAGAAAATGAGGGCTTTAGTGAATTTTGTGATTTGGGAATTTTTTGTGGAAAATGGATGAAATGTTTAATTTTTATAGATGGGAAGTGAGTGGGATAGTGGGGAATGGTAGTTGAATGAGGGGTTAATGAGGTTTAGTGGATTTTTAATAGGGTCAATAGTGGAGAAAATGAGAGTTTTTGGAGGTTGAAGATGAAGAGGATAGAGAAAATGAGGATTTTCTCAATTTTATCCCGTAAAGGCTCCGGACATCTTGGCGTCCGCCATGAGGGAGATGGTGCCCACCATCCTTAAAGATGTCAAAATACTCGTGCCAACACACGTAAAGTTCAAAATACTCGTGCCAACACTTGCCAACTCTACTTGCAACATTGAGAAAGACAATGGACATACGCAGTGATTAGAAGCAACTGATTTGATAATATGGGATGAAGCACATGTGTTTCATAAAAATTGCTTTGAGGTTTTGGATAAAACCCTTAAAGACGTCATTAGATGTCATGGTCTTGAGAATACAATATTTAGTGGCAAAGTAATTACTTTTGAAGGCGGTTTTAGACAAATTCTACATTTTTTTTTTCGAGAGGAGATCGTTATGATATTTTCCATGCTTCAATTAGGTCATCTTATGAATGAGACTATTATCAGGTCTTAACTCTAACAAAAAAATATGAGACTTCAACAAGGATTGAAGAATACAAGTTTTGCAGAGCTAGCTGAATTCTCAAAATGGATTTTAAATATTATGGTGGTAAGATTTGTGAACCAAATGATGGTTTGGTAGATATAAAAGTTCCCCGAGAAATGTTAATATCAAGTTTTGAGGATCCTATAAGAGCTATTATTGATAACACATATCCTAATTTGTTGGAAAATTACAACAAAAAAAAGAAGAATTCTTACAATGCAAAACTATTATTGCTTCAACTATTGAAGTAGTGGACAAAATAAATTATTATGTATTAGACTTGATTCCAGATAAAAGGCGTTAACTTACACTAATTTATGCATATTACCATACTATATATCAAATTATGAGACTAAAGTTTTAATGTTTTAATTTTATACAATTTTTTAGGAGTAAAGAAAGAGTATTTGAGTTCCGATTCAATCGATAGAACTGAAGCTAACTATAATCAAGCTTATGAAGTTTTAACTCAAAAATTTTCTAGTTCTCTGAGAACATCAGGTCTACCAAATTATGTTATCAAATTAAAAATTGAAACTCCTATTATGCTAATGAGAAATTTGGACCAGACTGAAGGGTTGTTCAATGGAACAAGATTAATTGTGACAAGGTTAGCAAATCACGTCATTGAGGCAAAAATTATGTCTGGAAAGAACATTGGTAACATAATTTACATTCTCCAGATGTCTATGTCACCTTTTGATTCACCATGGTCATTCAAGTTGATTAGGAGACAAATTCTGATCATTGTCTCATACGCAATGACAATAAATAAGTCCTAAGTCAATCACTTGATAGTGTGAGATTGTATTTGCCTACATTTGTTTTAGTCATGGCCAATTATATGTTGCGATTTCAAGAGTTAAGAGTAAAAGTGGTTTGAAAATTTTAATACATGACAAGGAGAATGTATCATGTTCGACTATTACAATGTTGTTTACAAGGAGATCTTCCAAACACTTTGTATCCTCTTCCATTATCCATATATTTCTATTAATGAGGAGTTTGTTACTAGTTTCCTTAAATAAAAGAAAACACAGGTTGTATCCTCTCCCATTATGTGTGATGCACCTAAAATTAATTTTAGGTATATAAAATTTATTTTGGCATCTTTGACAGTCTTTAAGGAGATTTGATTTTGTATTCACAATTAATATTAATTCAAAGTTTAGATTTATAACTATTGAATTCAAATGTGGTCTTAACATTAAACTATATGTGCAATTCATTTAATGTATATGTTCAATCATAAATCAATTTATATTTAACCCACCACAACTGTATTGAATACAATGGAATGCTGATCCGTGACGTTTCATTCATGCATTACAAGTTAGACGATTGAAAAACACTATTGCTAATAATTGTAACAGTTAATACTGCAGGAATATGCTTGTGGCTGCTATCTTCACAGCTCAGGGTAGCTTAGTCTGCTTTGTTCTTACAGTTATTTAAAGACAAGTGAACAAGGTTAATCATACTCCAAAGATGCTGCTATTCTCGTTAATAAAATCGGTTAAATTTGTTCTAGTATAAAAAGAAAAAGTTCAAGATATGTATGTGGCTTCGGAAGCCTACAATTAATCTCATAACTCATTCGCTAGAAGAAAAAAAAACTGTTTGCACCACTGTATTTGTGTGATGTTTAAAACAACTAAATTCGGAAGAAAAAGACAGAAAATGCATGTCAATAGCAGTATTCAAAAGATCTTTAAAAACCCTAAGGATATATGTTCAAAGACTCCAAAAAATCACTTTGAAGTATGAGCTCTCTACCAAATCCAACAATGGAGTTGATAGCCAGTGCAGCAGCTAAAAAGATGTCAAACGGGGCGGCTTCTGCGTAGGCTCGCCTTGATACATCAATCTGCGCTTCTTTGAAGCACCTTGGTACTGGTAGATGATGGTGTAGACGCACTGCCTAAGAGTTATGATGTCAAACATCTCTATGAATGTTAAATCCGCTGTCCTGGATTTAGCACCAGCATATCGCTGATACTCCTCGAACACAGAAGAGAGACACCAATTCTGCATCTTTCTGAAGCAACCAACTACGCAACCTGTTCTATGCTGCATTAGAGAAGAAAGATCATCATTAGAATAAACAATTAGGAATTAAAAACCATAGAGAATTTGAGAATTCAGAAGATAAACTGGTAAGTGAATCAATCTTATACCTTTCCTCGTTTGCAATGAATCAAAACAGGGTGATTTCTCACATCTGAAACCAGACAAAATTAAGGAAATAATCAGCTAAAAAACAAAAAAAAAAAACACCAAAGTAACAACCATGAGATGCAAAAAAGAAATCTGCATGTCAAAGCTGAATGAGCTGGTTTTAAAAATCAAGATTTATACCCAGTAAAATTTTCAAAGCCTCCATAATAGAATCCCTGAGAATAGGTAAAGAAACTTCCTGCAGAAAAATACAAAGATTCATCAACTCTAAAATAAAAAAGAGAAAAACAAAACCAAAAATAGTCAACAACCCACATAGGTCAAATTTCATGATCATTAGCAACAAACACCAACCCATATTTATGATAAACCCCAAATCCCCTTTTCCCCTAATTATACAATTAAACATAAAACCCTAATCTAATGATCTGCAAAAATAAAACAATCACACAAAAAATTTAAACTTTGAGGCAATACACATATACATTTCATGATTTGAATAAATTTTCATTAAAAAAAATTCATTATCGGACTTTTTAACAACTATCAAAATCCAATTCAAAACATTATACATTGAAATAACATGATTAAACACATTTGTACACATATATGATGAATATGAATATAAAAAATTACCGTTTTCCCCTCAATTCCAAATTGAAATAGACGAATATTCTGTGCCTTCAGAAACTCCAAATTCTCCTCCGGATAGGGTTCAGGACACAAGTATCTGCATCAATTCGAAAAAAGTTTCACCCAAATAATATATATAACATCAAAATCAATAAATAAAAAGTCTTTTTAATCAAAATTAAGAATAAAGAACGAAAAAAAAAATCATAGAATTTTTCAGGAATCATTGAAAAAAGAAAAAGAGATACGAATCTTGAAAGAGAAAAAAAAACCTACATGATGGAGCGAAGGTTTAGCGTCTGAAGGAATGGAAAATTGGAAGGATGAGGAAGGCTAGATCGGTAAATGCAATCTTCAACCATGGAGAAATTAGGCGGTGGAATCAAAACGTCGTCGTCTTCATCAACGGTTTCAACTTCTACCATCATTCCCATTATTAAAAAATTGAATCTCTCTTTTTTAAAAAATTGAATCTCTCTTTTTCAAAAAAAGAGGATTCAGAATCTGTATTATAGTAGTGGTAATTGAGATTCTGCTACGATGAATTGTTCAATGGAAATTCCATCTTCTTCTTATAGAAGAAGAGAAAAAAGAAGAATGAGGATTCTGAAAACAGGGTCTTGAATATGAATTGTGAATTTAGCTGATTTTTCTGAATCTAATAACCGTATTGCTATTGGCGGGTGCACGGAAAGTGCAGCGAATATTGCTCTTAGTTAATTAATCACCAAATTCTGTTTATTTTATTTTTTTAATTATGAAATAAATATTAAATATTTTGTATATAGAAATTGATTAATTCATGTTAGACTGTCAGAAATTATTTTTCGTCCTTAATTATAAAAGAAATCTTTTTTTTTTTTTATTTTTAACTTTCATCGAATATGATAAGTTTATTATGTTTCTTTAGTGAGGATTTAAAGAAATGAAAGTAGCTAACAAAATTCACTTTTCCAAAATAATAGTAATGACTTTGTTTTAATTTTGATACATAAAAGTATTTGAAAAATTAATACGTAAATGTATTCAACTTGGCTATTTAAACCGACCGGTCCACAAGGCTATATTTAAGCAACATACACATATTTAATTCTAAGTTAACTTTGGAATTTTAGATAATTTGTTTCAAATTAATTTTTTAATTCATATGATACAATATTTTATTTAAAATATGTTTTTCTTTTATTTTATAGAATTCAAACTAATATATAGACATGCTTCTCATAGAAGAAAAATCTGAATTAATTTATTTGAGTTTATCTAGTGTCATAATTTAAGTTTTGTGATACTAATGAAAAAGATTATAAAAATAATTTATAATATATCTCAAAGAAGGAGAATCAAGAAGATAGATTATTTACTTTTTGCAAATATCTTATCAGCTGAGAATCCTTGGCAGATTTGACAAAAAACTTGTCAGAGGTAAATAAAATATAGACTCCATTGTCACAATAGATTAACTCACTGTTATTAGATTCTTAGTAATAGAGGGAATACATAAAAGATTATTCATAGTGAGAGGTGTGTGAGGGTTAATAGTGGATGAAAAAGTGCTAGAACCAGTTGAGTTGATTTGCAAACTTTGACCATTACCAATGAAGATCTGATTAGGACCTTCAAATGGTGTCACCTGTTGAAAATTCCTCAAATCATTTGTGATATGATAGGAGGCCCCAGAGTCTAGATACCAAGATGAATTTGGAGAAGTAAGTTGATGAGAGTTGCATAAAATACATTAGGCACATTCAGTGGTGGAAGGGTTCTGCTGGTTGAAGGAGGTCTGGTCCACACATTTGTAGTCTGCATAGCAAAGGGATTTGGAGAAGGGTTACAAGGTTGATTTAGGTAAGTAGATCCAAAATTGGAAGTAGGTTTAAAATGTTGATTAAAACTGTGCCAGCAATTGAGAGTTGAGTGACCTACTTTTGAGAACACCTGACATTGCACGATGAAGGACCTACCACCTCTACCACAATCTAGACGACCACCTCTTGAACTTCTACCACCATGAAACTGGTGAAAATCAGTATCAAAACTTTGTGCAACCACCAGAGGACTGGAATCGGGTGCAGCGGAATTGTTGTCCTCGGTGTTGGAACTTGTGGAACCAACATGTGTGAGATTGATAGACACCAGATCAGTTGAAGATTGCTTATTAAATTTTGTGAGACATAGTTCATGCCCAAGAAGCAGAATCCCCACTTTATCAAGATCCATCAAACCAAACTTGCTCTCAATAACTGAGATGTCAAGTGTAAATTCAGAAGGTAAACCTTCCAGAATGACATCAATGTGATGTGAACTAGAGATTGGATCTCCAATTGATGCATGTGCATCAATGATACTGTGCATTTTTATCAAATACTTCTGCACAGTGGAATTCTTAAGTGTTAGGGTAGGAAGTTCAACGTGCATCTGTCTTGCTCTAGCACGAGTTTGTTTTTGAAAGTAGCTGAACAATCGATCCCAAAGTTATGAGTGCAGCCAAAGACTCGTGAGAGTATTTCGCTCGACAATGTCAATTGCAGCCACGACAACAACTTATGATCTTTCTATAACCAGTGAGTGTATTCGAGATTAACCACGCCATAAGCATGAGCTTCATCATCAGTAAACTGATACGGAATGCGTGAGCATATAACGAACTTTGTGAGGTTGTGAGCGTTAATGTATAACTCAATTTGTTGACAACACAAGTAAAAGTTGTAAGAACACAGATTGTTTCTTAGTAATATCTCTATGTTTTGATGATAACTCTTATGAAATTTTGTATTAAAGAATTATATACTCTAAAATTGGTTCATGAATATTTGCTGCAGATAATTAAAGTATATATACATCCAAGAGCAAATTAATCTGAACATGGAACTATGGAAGGCTCTGAAGAGTCAGAATCATCTTATAGAAGAATCTGAGCGCTGCCTATAGAAGAATCTGAAGCAGAAGCTACAAAAGAATCTGAAGCAGAAGCTACAGAAGAATCTGAAGTAGAAGCTACAGAAAAATTTGAAGCAGAAGCTGCAGAAGAATCTGAAGCATAAGACTCTAATAAGATCTGAAGACTCTGAAGCATTGAAGAACTTTGTATGAGAGTTAAGAAGCACAGTTTTTTTAGAAGACTCTGAGAGTACTGCACGCTGCATGTATTGAGGATCTGATTCATAAAACTCTGCTCTGATAGAACTACACGCTAAAGCACACTTGTTGCATTACTCTGATTCAGCAAAATCTGATGGGTATCCAAGACTCTGATCATGCAAAATATGATGGTTACCTTGCTGAAAAGAAATACTTGTTGAAGAAGAATTCAAAGTAATATATTTTGATTTAGATCAACGACTCTTTCCTCTTTCATGCTTGACACTAGAACACAGACCAAAAGCATTTCTCTGTGCATTCTACTTTCAGGAAAGGTCATGTGATGTAAAGACAAAAAGGTTCAGGCCTTTTCAGTACACAGCCTCCAACGTCAAGACTTTGTGGACTACTGTGCATATAAAAGCAAGTCTTCATCATCTTCTTCAATAGTGATCAACAACCAACAAATCTTTGATAGAAACTCTTACAAGCTCTCATAAAATATTCTTATTGCTGAGTTTATTCTTTTGTTCTTAACATTAAGATAAAAATCACTGTTGTGATAAAGCTTGTTAGAAGCATTCATACACTTGTATTAATCTTACATTTGATTATAATAGTTCCTTAAGAAGATCCAGTTGGGATCAGTAGTTCTTGAGAAGACTTTGAACAGTTGTTCTTAGTGCTTACTATTGTAATCAATTGATTAAATATTGGATTAAGTCCTTGTTTGAGAAAGGAAAATCACTCTAGATAGGGTGGACTGGAGTAGTTGAGTTCAACGAACCAGGATAAAAATACTTGAGTTTTTACTTCTAAGTTTCATCTTCATACTTATTCAACCCCCCCCCCCCCCTTCTAAGTATTTTCTCACCTTCAAAAGTTCTTCTCATCAAGTTTGTGTATGATCTTGAGTGAAAATTGAAGGCGATTCAAATCATCTAAGGATTTTGAAGCCACCAGCATGGTCATATTGAAGATTTGAGCGAAAGGCGATGGTGTATGCACCGGTGATGATGGCAGTTTCGTCATCACAAGACCTATATCAGTGACTTACACTGACACCATGTTAGAAATTAAGTTAGATGAAGATTCATTTTCTGTTTTGATTTTATAACTGGATTCAATTATTTGCAAAAAGTTGGTTACAAAATGTTACACCCTAATTTTGACCCTGAACCGCTTTCCCTGCATATCATAATATTTTCATCATTTGTGCATCTAACCATTGCGCCTCCGAATTTGTACCTTTTGTTCCGTGTTGTCTAAGCTTAGGTCTTACAGGATTGAATCAAGGATCAGGTCAGGCTATCAAGACAAGTATGTATGCGGTGTGGTGTGAAATTTTGTACAGCATAACGTGCATCTTACCGTGGGTAATTCACAAAAGGATTAGCCAGAACAAATTTCTTGGATATATAGACGGACTGGTTAAATGGTGTTTCAAATATGCTAGAAAAATTAACGATTGAAAAGTCTTGAATTTGAGCTTGCAGGCGCTAGTGTTTTTAACCTACTTTCCCTCTAAAACTCGACCTAACGTACTCGTCTTATCTCTCAACGAACATTTAATCACTGTTGACCAGTACGAGCCTTTTTACCGGTCCCTGTCGATTCTCAAAATTAACTGAGTGTCGTATTTTTCAAGTCATCCATTTCATGTTAATCTTCTGTGTGCATTCGGTTTTATTCTTTTAAGCACCTCTGTTGCTCGATTTCAATTTGTCTTCACCCGATTTATTTCTAGATTTTCATCAAAAACGTCAAGAATAATTATGTGAACTTTTTGGGCTTGCATTTCATTTTTTAGCACATTTATTTAATAAATGGTGAGTTTTTAAATTTCTTTTTATTTTAGCCCAATAAGAGCATGACACGTGGCATTTTTTATTTATCATTTTTTTAAATTAGATTAATTAGAATTTACTTTAGAATTTAGAATTAGATTAATTAAAATTTATATTAGAAATTAAAATTTTAAATAAGATTAGAATTTAAAATTAAAATTTAGATTTAAAAGTATAAGTTAGAATTAGGAAGTGATTAATTTAAATTAGAAGTTAGATTAGAAGTAAAGTTAGATTAGTTAATTAGTATTAGAATAAGATATTAAGAAAATAGAATAGAAAAAAAGGAGGATAGAAATTAATTAATTAATAATCAAAATTTAAAAATTTTAAAAAACAGAAAAAGAAAAAGGGAAATACGGAAAGTGAGGAGGTGAAATTAGGGTTGGAGATTAGGGTAAAAAACTTGGGGATAAAAAGCACGGTTACTGTTCATCTTCAAGAACAAAAAAAAACCTAGCTGCATAACACTGTTCACTTTCACCTTCTTCTACTCCACTCAAACCCTA